GTGCGTTCCAGCCGTGGAATGCAAGCCGTTCCGCCCCTCTCCACGAGGACCAGAGTAGCGGCTAGACTCCGCGACAAGAAGAGCAGAAGGAAGGAAGTACAGGAGTCCACTTACCAAGCCCACGTCCTATAACTGGAAACCCTTTTAGGTTTGTAGTTAACCCTGGAACACGGGCATGCTCCAATCATAGGATTTAACTCCACAAGGACACCATCCACCCAGGGGAGCTGGAACCCCCGGGCAGGCATGAGATAGAGGAGGTGGAAAACAACAAAAAAGACTTTTAAAACAAGTGATGTCGTGAGCGAGGACAGAAAAAGAACACGTGGTGAGTGAAGCAGGGGGAATTTATCATCTAGTGAGGGTGGTCCTACTTGGGGTTTAGGGCAGAGCTAACCTATTTTATACTGACATGGGGTGAGCCAGGAAACTGTATGTGTGTAACCTTCAATTTACACCAGGGTTAGGTTCCAGAAAGAATGGTTGCAATTAGAAAGTGATGTAAATTGAAATCCTGTATATAATGCAAGTCAATGGGAAATGTGGGAGTTAGGTTCCAGGCCTCTCTCAAAAATGACATAAGTGGCATAATACACTATGTTTAAAGCTTTGAAATGAATATTATGGATGCCCCAAGGGTACCACTATTCCCCTAGCGGGGATCTATGTGCGTCCATATCTCCAAGTGAACTTCTGTAATCATCCAGATTTAACCCTGTACTGCCCCATATATCCTGGTTTAACCCTGTGAGTCGCCATATCTCCAAGTTTAACCCTGTGCACCTCCATATCTCCAAGTGTACCCCTATGCTCTTCTGTAGCTCCAAGTGTACACCCTGTGCCTCCAGCATGTCTATGTGCCTGTGTACAGCTGCATGTGTATCCCTGTGCCACCAGCACATCTCTATGTGTGCACCACCATACCTCAAAGTGTCCCTCTGTAGGAGTCCAAAGTTCTGTAAGCCCTTTCCTGAGCCGAAATCCAGCACCTCTGCCCCAATCTAGCTGTCAGAGGCTCTGCACAGTACTGTGCTGTTGTAATGTATAGCGTTACCATGTGTATCCTTAAGGATACACTTGGTGGCGCTGTTGTTTCAATGACAGTCACGTGGCCGGCTGAAAAGAGTGCTATTTCTAAGCGACACAAAATGAGCGATACC